TTTGCTAGCCCAAAAAACAAAACTGTATCCAACTCTGTGGAGATGGAACTTGCATATTGTTGATTTTTCATCTGACAGGTATTGAAAGTTATTTTGAGGTTAATGCACTGCTTGGTTTATAAAATGGTAGTGTAAATTTCCTCTTCCAATATGCTTGTTTATTACTGTGTGGAGAGAATTCTTTCTCTTTGCTTGTGGTGAAAAAGTATAGAATATAGTGGATGAAGGCTAATAACGAAAGGAATCATTTTCAATTCTTTAATGATCCTGAGTGGGTTTTGTGGTAATCCAAAGTGGGAAACGTGATAAAAAAATCAATTTTAAATAAGAGGAATCTATAAAAAATTTGGAAAGGTACAGAATTAATTAATTTAAATATTTTGTTTATATTTGGGAAAACTGTTTGCCTAAGAAAAATTTAGTGTAATTTGTAATGAAAATACCTGTAGAAAAAGCTTGTGCTTAAATATACTCTTATCAGGGCACCTGGGTGGCTCAGTAGGTTAAGTGATCTACTCTTGATTTCAACTCAGGTCATGGTCTCAGGTTTGTGGGATCAAGTGCAGCATCTGGCTCCACACTCAGGGGGGAGTCTGCTTGAGATTCTCTCCCTCCCCCTTTGCCCCTCCCCCCACTTGCACACAGGTGTTCTCTCTCTCTCTTCCAAATAAATAAATAAATCTTTAAAAAAATAAAATAGAATATACTCTTATCAGAAAAAACTATGTCTTTTAGTAAATAGAATGCATGAAATAATGAACACTCCAAATTGTTGTATATCACCCCTAATGATTCTTGGAGTCCTTGCCAGTCGTTATAGTAATATTATCTTGGGGAAAAAAAGAATTCAAAACAAAAGAAATGGAAACCCAAAGATCCAATAACATTTCTTAAGCACTTATGTATGTGACGTAGTGCCTATACATTTCTAAACTAAATATAGAGGCCTACTAGTAAATTTTGATATATATCTGAAATAATTCATTTTCATTCAGAGTAGAAAGCTACACTTTAAAATATTATGGATATATACATTATTTTAATTTAAAGTGTTTTTTTATAGAGGATGAATTTTATCACTAAATTTCTATTTTTTGAAGAACTAAATCTTTAGGTATTATGTAGGTTTTTACATATAAAAACATCTAGTTTTTATTGCTCATTTTGTATACTTTCAAATGCAGTAATAATATTGAAACAAAACCTAATAAACCTTCTCTAAAATTAGGATTTTTTAAGTATAGCAAGATGTTCTGAAATGCCCACATTGAAGTTGGAATGGTTAGAATACATTTGTATTTAGAATTAAAATGAATTAAAACAAAGAAGAAATAATAACTAACTACAGGTTTTAGAGATATTTTCTAAATCAACAAAACATTTTCTTATGTATTAACTTGGATGAAAGAAAAAAATAGAAACACCAACATTTCTAATTTGCTTTTGTATGACTTATTTGTAAATACATTTGAATTGTATGTTGTGTGGACATGAGTCCTCCATAAAAACCAGGTTGAACACAGAATATGAATTTATTGTACAAATTAAGAAGAGACAAAAGGTAGTGTTTAATGTAACTCATAAAGCAGAGTTTGATTTTTAAAGCCAGAATTCTGTGTAATTATTTTTCTGCCTTGAATTAAGTATTTCAAAACATGGCCTGTGTATATCTCATTTATGGTTCAACTGTTTTTCGGTTTTTTTTCTTCAAGTTTTTATTTAAATTCCAGTTAGTTGGGACACCTGGGCGGCTCAGTTGGTTGGGCAGCTGACTCTTGGTATCAGCTCAGGTCATGATCTCAGAGTCCTGGGATCCAGCGCAATGCCAGGCTCTTCATCAGTGGGGAGTCTGCTTCTCTCCTCTACCTCTGCCCCTCCCCTCCGCTCACATATGCTGGTATGAGTGCTTTCTCTCTCTAAAACAAGTGAATAAATCTTTAAAAAATAAAAAATAAATAAATTCTAGGTATTTAACATACAGTGCAATATTACTTTCAGGTGTAGAATTTAGTGATTCATCACTTAACATACAATAGTGTTTATCTCAACAAGTGCCCTCCTTGATACCCATCACCAATTTAACCCATCCTCTCCACCCACCTCCCCTCCAGTAACCCTCAGTTTGTTCTCTATAGTTAAGAGTCTGTTTCCTGTTTTGCCTCTCTCTCTCTCTCTCTCTCTCTCTCACTCTTTCATATGTTCATCTGTTTTGTTTCTTAAATTCCACATATTAGTGAAATCATATGGTATTTTTCTTTCTCTGACTTATTTCACTTAACTGTTTTTCTGTCCATTTATTCCTTCATGTTGTCATTTGGTTTATTTTGGTTTTGAGGTGATAGAAAATAAAAATCAAATAAATAATATTAAAATATTGTATATAACTACAAAGTAATGAAAGGAGAAGGGATTTTTGCTGAACTTTTAGGCTGAGGAATCTGTTATTAGGCAATTGATAAACCAATAGCAAGATTATTTTTTTAAAGATTTATTTATTTATTTGAGAGAGAGAGGGAGAGAACACAAGCAGGAAGAGGGGCAGAGGGAGAGGGAGAAAAAGTGAGGCAGACTCCCTTCTGAGCACAGAGCCTGATGTGGAACTCCATGCAGGGCTCTAGTGGGGCTCAACCTCACAACCCTGAGATCATGACCTGAACCAAAATCAAGAGTTGGATGCTCAACCAACTGAGAAATCCAGGTGCTCCAGTAAGATTCGTTTTTAGAAAGTCGTATGTCATTTTTGCTTAGTGGTCTATGATACGTAGCTACTGTTTGTGAATTTATGTCACCCCAAAGTCATCTTACCAGGAAGAGATTCTTTGTCTCTCTGGGTGAATGAATGAAGCTATTAAGGATGAATGTCATCTCCCTGTTTGGAACAAATAGGTTGAGAGCTAATATTCATTTTTTGATAACTAATATGTTACCTTGATTCATTTTACAGACTATAATTGAGATCTTTTTTTCAACCAACATTTTAAATATTCTGGTGGTATATCTCATTTGCTTTGAACTGTTGATTTTATTGCATCTTGATTTTGATATATTAATAGCTGACACAAAAAAATACTAAATCATCACTTATTTTTTTCTGGTTAGCCCTATAGTGTTTTATTAATTCATAAGAACAATTACTAAAATTAATCAATTATCCTTACATATCTAAAAATCAAAATAGGCTATTCAACAAATTCCCAGTGAAGTCACAAATGTATCCTATTTATTTGCCATCTTAAAACATGATCATCTAGAATATTTATAGAGTGTGAAATTAATGTCTATTTAATATAAAAATTTAATGTATAAATTAATGCTTACAAATATTTATATATACCACATAGTTGTTATAAAATTTGAATAAAATAACCGATTTGAAATCAGAGCAATTAAAATGTTACAATAAATGGAAATTTTCCTCTTAACTCTCGTGAATCTAAGATTTATTTATTATGATAGTATAATACTTACAAACCAAGTATATTAAAATAATAGGTGTTGAAATAATTATGATTAAATTCACCCAAAGGTGATACAGAAGGATATGTGATAATGGATGAGCATTATGTTTTTGCTTTATAGAATATGTCCTTTCTGGGGCGCCTGGGTGGCTCAGTCATTAAGCGTCTGCCTTTGGCTCAGGTCATGATCCCAGAGTCCTGGGATCGAGCCCTGCATTGGGGTCCCTGCTCCACGGGAAGCCTGCCTCGCCCTTTCCCACTCCACCTGCTTGTGTTCCCTCTCTCGCTGTGTCTCTATCAAATAAAAAAAAAAAAGAATATGTCTTTTCCTTGATTAATCTGTAAAGCCATTTTCTTATTTTTTTAAAAAAATTATTTATTTGAGAAAGAGAGAGTGAGTGAAAGAGAGAGCACAAGCAGGGGAAGGAGCAGAGGGAGAGGGAGAAACAGACTGGAGTGCTGAGCTGGGAGCCCGGACACAGGGCTGGATCCCAGGACTGATGGATCATGACCTGAGCTAAAGGCAGATGCTTAACGGACTGAGCCACCCAGGCACCCTAAAAGCCATTTTCTGAACGCTCCCTGTTAGGGTGGCCAGTGACAAAGAGTTGCACATAGTAGAGCAACAATCAGGACAGAATGTATTCATACTCCAAGGGAGGAGAGAGGCCAGACTTCAAGGCTGGGCCTTTTAAGGGGTTTAAAGGATGTGAGAGGGTTGCAGCTGCGCATGTGGGGGACGATATGGGGGAGGGGATCAACTCTTGGCCAGATAGAGCAGGAGGTGTCAGTTTATTAGGGGGCTCTGTCCAGGGTTTGTCTGGGATGTGGGTTGTGGTCCAGCTAGAGAAGAATATGTTTTGTAGGTAGTGGTCTATTTTCTGAGAATGAGGGGCACCATGACCTGGAAAAACAAAGAGTTAGGGTCAAGTACAGACACCTGTGAGTTTTGTCTGTAAGCTTGGTTGGGGAGGGGGATTTGAATAGAACCCTTTCACTTCCTAAATCATAAATAAAAAATCCAGAAAAAAATTAATATGGAAAAGCAACCATCATAAATTTTCTTATAAGTGCTGTTTAAGTATTGAGTATTAACAGATTTGAAACCCTGATAGAGAATAGTGCAACAACTGTTGTGAAGAGTTAGAGTGAATCAATAAAACATAAACATTGTGAAGAAGGAAGCAATATTGATGGAATCCATTCCTTGGAGAAGATTAGACACAAATGTGAAAATTAGACCTGTACAAAAAGAAATACAATAAATGAATCCTTTCTGGAATAAAATGTAATAAAAATACTAATTTGATAGCATTACCATACCTTATTAAAATCTTTTGTTTTGGTATTTCAGGTTTCAGAATACATAGAAAATAGTCATGTCAAGCAGGACAGCCAAAGCATCCAATCCACTCTACTTGTCTCTTTGAAAGTGTTGAGTTTACCAGTTGTTCCATTTTCTTTCTCCTGATATGGTTACTTTTTTTTCTTTTTTTAATGTTCACTTAGCCACTGTGTAGTACATCATTAGTTTTTTTTAAACTGCTTTACTATATTTTATTGATATAAATACCACAAATTTCATAAGCATCAGCTACTGTTTTACTACAACAGTCAAAAGAATTAAATATTAATGCAAAGAGTAACTACAGAAATGCTTTCACTTCCATAAAATCATCTCTAACAGCATCCTGTATACTTTGTACAATTTGCTTGTAATTGATTACTTGATACAAAGCAAAGCTGAATTTCAATCAAATTTTATTTCTCAGTGGAAAAGGCTCTCTTCATCAGTGGTGGCTGAGCTTTCCCGACATCAAACATCATTTCCAAAGGTGGGTTATTAAGAGAACACCAATCAGGTATACGGCCTGTCTGATTATAATACTCCTTTGAGACTGAACGGCTCCCAAGTATGTCCTGCAGTGCCCCAAAAATAGCTCCTCCCAACCAGGCCACACAATTAGCCTTTGCAGGTGGAGTATGAATTCGGAATGTCTTGGTGCCAAGTGCTATTTTATATTTTGGTTTTTCTACCAAATACCTTATTTCTGCAAGCAATCTGTGGAGAAATCCTGGCAACATAGATGTGCCACCTATGACTACCAAATTCTCTGCTAGTTGCTTTCTGGTGTCTATTGGGCACTGTATAAGGGAATCCAGTATTAAAGTGGCAACTGATTTCTCTTCATTATCTTGTTCAAAAAGAATCTCCACAACTGAATCTCTGATTGATCCAAGAACATGTAAAATCTTCTCTCCATCTAATGGGTAGTCAACATTTGGAGGTGGTGAGGGACGCTCAGTATTCCCATCAATATTAAATTTTGCTGCTTGGATTTTTAATCCACGTTTCAGATCACTTACAAAGCAAGTGCGCACTTTAATGTCCTCTAAAACACCTTCTGGAATTGAACCCATCACAGAGGGAAGGCTCTGTTCTTTAGCAGCACCTGTGTCAACAGTACACTGCTCCAGTAGCTGAGTTTCCAACTCCTTGTGAAGAGCTTTTCCTCCTAGGAAGAGTGCTCCCCAACAATTTAGTACTGGGATTCCTTCATATATAGGTAACACCAGGCTCTCCCTATATCCGCAATCCAGGACCATAGCAGAGTTTATCCCAAGTGTCAGAAGAGCCATTAGATGACTTGGAGCAAGCAGGACAGATGGAACCTCAAAATACTTGAAAAGAACCCGGGTGAGTGTCTCTCTGAAGTGGGAAGGACACAGCACTGACTCGATAACCACAACCCGGCGGTCTCTAGGGTTCACCAACAGGTACCTGAAATACAGTATGTGGATGAATTCCTTTAGGTAGGAATACAATTCTTCTGTATTGATATTATATTGAACAACTTTGATAGGCTTAGGCAGACCAGCTTTTTTAATCACACTAGGAATTATGCATCTTGGACCAGTTTCTCCAGCAAATCCACACTTGGTAAAAGCCTCTCCCAGGTCTACCACGACTGCCGTTTTCTCCCCGCCGCTCCCTAGGCCTTCATACAGCGGCATGGTAATAAAGACCACCGTAAGAAGGTGAGCTCCGGTGCAGGCCCCACAAGTTTCTGCTCTCAGAGGGACATCATTAGTTTTTGATGTAGTGTTCAATGACTCATTAGTTGCATATAACACCCAGTGCTCATTACAACACGTGCCCTCCTTAATACCATTTCTCTTGCAGTGTCTTAGATTGTTTCCTGTCAACTTTAAAAACGACCTTATTATTTCCCCAATCTGTGAAAGAAGTTTTGACTGCATGAGAACAAGAACAGAGAAGTAACTGTATAATACCTCACGGTTGTTTAGTGGTGTATTTTTGACTTCATGAGACATTAAAGTAATTAGAATGACAAAGTTTAAGATCATAGGCAAACTTTCATATTTTCATGTAATACCTAAATTTGTGCCATTTTAAACAATTTGTTATTGTAGACTGTAAGCCACTCATTCACATATAGAATTAGTTTTTCATGGGGCTTCTGGGTGACTCAATTGGTTAAACATCTGACTTCAGCTCAGGCCATGATCTCAGGGTCCTAGGATGGAGCCCCATAACAGGCTTCCTGATCAGCAGGGAGTCTGCGTCTCCTTCTGCTTCTCCCCACCACTTGTGCATGCACACTCTCTCTCAAAAAACAAAAGAATTAGTTTTTCACAAATTAAACACAGCACTATAATAAAGGAAAATGTAACAAGTATATGAGGGAAGTTATGCCTTGAAATTCTTCTGACAAACCATTTGAACACTACTTTTGTGGTTTGATATCTCTAGAATTGAGTAGAGACTTAGTTCCTCTACCTACTTACCTTTTTAGAATGAAATTGCACAGAGACTATGAAATGAATTTGCATTTTTGTTTTTCATCTAAAATTTCAGAGTTACTTATTTTCTTTCTGTCTTAGCTTTTTCTGATTGTCATGGTTTTGTCCCCATATGCTTGTTGCCTATGCAACCACTAGGTATTGCCTATAAAAAAACCTCACTCAAAGAGCATTAGCATTGCTAAAGCTTTTAGAAAATTTTAATTTTATCTATCTGTTTTCATTGTGGTTCCCCTATCAGTTTCCAGACTAACTTTACACTATGGTAGGAATGGGATGTGGGAGAATGGTAAAGAAATGTAAGGTTATCTTATCATTTGTTAATGAAAGAGAAAATTAGAGGCAGGTAAAGGTATGTGTATAGGAATATCTTCCCTGAATATTTGAGTTAAATTGATCATGCTAACATAAACTAAGCAGTGATTTTTTTATATCCATGTTTGGTAACTAAATTTCTGTATTGGTCAGTCAAAGAAGCAAACTCAGCATTTTAAAGGAAAACTTTCTAATTTTAAAGATTATAATACATTTTCAGGTGGTAAATGTAAGGGGTTGGAATCAAAATCTGGAGATTGAGGTTATTTAATCATGCAGGTTTACATCTTGTTAGAGGGAAAGTTGAGTTTGTCATGCATTGATTGAATCCTGAATTAAAGACACTCTGGAATATTTATATTATGAAATATAAACTCTGTGAGGGCAGAGATTTTTGTCTGATTTGTTCACTGATTTATTCTCAGTGCCTAGAAGAATGTCTGGCATATTAAAAAAGCTTAAAAAATGTTTGTTGACTAAGTGACTAAACCTTTATAAAATTAATTACTAACTAGAGATTAAATATTCTTTCTAGGTTTGCAATATGGATATTTCCTTAAGTTTTAGAAATGTCATTGTCCTTTTTCCCAATACTTTCTAATTTTTAAAACTTCTGAAAGAATTTCAAGTGATAAAACACATTTAAAAATGTTTTATTTGATGATGTTATTAAAGAAAGAGTGGAACAGATTTAGAATGGGTTGGCAGAGGGGGACTGCTTGGAATTAGGTCACTTTCTTAACTCTTCTTCTTGTGTAGAGATATTGCAACATGCATGCAGTGTTTGAAAAATGGTCTGCAGCATTCTTCTACCAGTTGTAATAATGTGTATATGCTTAAGGGTAAGATAAGAAAAGAGTAGTAGTTTTAATTCCAATTGTCACTATCCCATTTTTATTTTTGCTTATGTTTGTATAGTACTTACAAAATCACACAGACACTGAATTATTTTAGATGTCCTAGATTCATGTTATATAGGACACAAATATATTTGTGCATATTAGCACAATAAGTATAAATGGGTATTTTTATATAGGGCCAATAATTCTAAAGAGATTAAATCTTGAGAAAAGTTTTATATTATGTAATCCCAGTGTTCATCATTGAGCAAATGGGCTAAAAATACCACAGGCAATAGTCATTTTGTGTTGTTTGCTAAGATACAGAATTTCTTCAGTATTAGAATTACTCAGTATTAGAATTACTATTAAAATGTTTTATAAATGGCATGAACTGCTCAACACAGGAAAGTAGGTGGACTCATATATATAATTCTTACTTGGGTGATAATAATTCCTTAAAGTGAGGTGTTTCAAGTTTATCTGGTTAATTTCTTGGTTCTATTAATGACCTAAACTGTTTCAATTATTGTAACAAATACATTTATTCTATAATTGATTGCAAATAGGAAGGTTTCTTTTTTCTCACTTTTGTGTCTTCTGACCTGTCCACATGCATATTTTTTAAAAATGCAGATTCACAGCTATACAGTGGAAAAATTATTTAATGTAATACATTGTCTGCCATATTCAGACCATAATATTTATAGCAAGTTATTTACATCATTTCATGAGTCTTCCTGTTTTTAGAGCTATTACTAGAATTTTTTAATGCTATCAATTACCAATAAATATTGAAAACTTCCTTAATTATATACCTATGTGCATTAATAATTTTCTGTAATGAAATATTTTTTTCTGTAATGGATTTTTAAATGATCATCTGTTAGCTGAGCCTTTAAAAGTTTTGATGCATTCATAGCTGCATTAATTCATTATTTTAATTTAAATTCAATTACTTAACACATAGTATAGTATTGGTTTCAGGAATAGAATTTAGTGATTCATCACTTACATATATCACCCAGTGCTCATCACAAAATGTACCCTCCTTAATGCCCATCACCCATTTAGTCCATCCTCCCACTCACCTCCCCTCGAAAAACCCTCAGTTTTTTCTCTATAGTTAAGAGTCTTTATGGTTTGCCTTCCTTTCTGTTTTTATCTTATTTTGTTTTTCCTTTCCTTCCCCTAGGTTCATCTGTTTTGTTTCTTAAGTTCCACATATGAGTGAAATCCTATGGTATATGTCTTTTTTCTGGCTGACTTATTCCACTTAGAATAATACACTCTCATTCCATCTATGTCATTGCAAATGCAAGATTTCATTTTTTTGATGGCTGAGTAATATTTGATTGTATATATATATACCATCTCTTCTTTATCCATTCATCAGTCAGTGGACATTTGGGCTCTTTCCATAATTTGGCTATTGTTGATGATACTGTTATAAACATTGGGGTACATGTGCCCCTTCAAATCACTATTTTGTATCCGGTAGATAAATACCTAATAGTGCATTGCTGGGTCATAAGGTCATTCTATTTTTAACATTTTGAGGAACCTCCATACTGTTCTCCAGAGTGGCTGTACCAGTTTGTGTAAGTTTGTATAAGAATACCAACAGTGCAAAAGTGTTTCATTTTCTCTGCACCTTTGTGAACATCTGTTGTTTCATGAGTTTCATGAGTTGTTAATTTTATACATTCTGACTGGTGCGAGATGGTGTCTCATTGTGGTTTTGATTTGTATTTCCTTGATGATGAATGATGTTGAGCACCTTTTCATGTGTCTGTTAGCCATCTGGATATCTTCTATGGAAAAATGTTTATTCATGTCTTCTGCCCATTTCTTAACTGAATTATTTGTTTTTTGGGTGTCAGTTTGTAGATATAAAAACCCATTTTAATATGATCTACTTTCAGTGTATAGACACAAATTCTCAAAGTTGGAATGTCTTCTAGTCCAGCTCTCCCACTGAATGTTTTTGGATCTTATCTACCTAATCATAGATATGTAGATCTAAACTGGTTATCTAGCTTCTTACTATCTCCTGAAAACTGTTTTTGTTTTTCCAGAATGCTTTAATAGGCAGTTGTTTATGTTGATCTGAAAGTTGCCTCCCTGTAATTTTTACCTATCTTTCTTCCTCTCATCCAAAGAAAGCTTTAATCTTTTCACATTGTAGTCCTTCTCATGTTTAGGCATGTGTCACATCAACCCCTTCCTTTCTCAAAGGACTTCTCTTCTTTAATCCAAACTTTCTGAATCCTTCATATGTCATGATTCTTTGTCTCTTTTGAGGTGCAGAACTGAACACAAGGACTATTGTATAAAACATTCATTACCAATAGAAGAGTTACATTTGAAAGTCATATTATAATAAAGAATAATGATTATACTTTTTGATTAGTCATAAATATACATTACTTTACTTAAGTATTGAATTAAGTGTTTTTAATTATTTTTATTAACTTTATCTATCTTGGTATATCTTTTATATATTTTATCAATGATGACCACTTTTACAAATACTGAGTCTTTTAATTACTGGAGGTATGTTGTATAATTTACCTTTTATCTTTATGAAAAACACATAACATTATTTAAGAGTCAATTGTGCTAATATTTCAAGGATTTTAAAACTGAACATTTAGTTAACATACATTTAATGGTTGGTTGGCTTTAATAATTTCTTCTTCTTCCTCTTTTTTTTCCCCATTTCTTTTTGACAGTTTCCTGTGGGTTGATACAGAGAACCATCACAATTGTGCCTGGTATGGACTTGTTGTCTGGGACATATATATTTGCGGTCCTTTTAGCATGTGTCGTATTTCAGTCTGGCGCCCAGGAGAAAAACTACACCGTCCGAGAAGAAATGCCAGAAAATGTTCTGATAGGCGACTTGCTGAAAGACCTCAACTTGTCACTGATTCCAGACAAGTCCTTAACATCTCCTATGCAATTTAAGCTAGTGTATAAGACTGGTGATGTGCCACTGATTCGAATTGAAGAAGGTACTGGTGAGATCTTCACTGCTGGAACTCGCATTGATCGTGAGAAATTGTGTGCTGGTATCCGGGTGGAAACCCGTTGC